ATCTTATACCAATGTGCGTATAGCCACACGCACATCGCTGTCGGTGATTTACCAGAAGAGCATTTTTCAACAGGGGCCTACAGCCTATTCTTCTGCAGATCTTGATTTCTAAGAATCCCTCAATCTGGCTTCGCTACCATTTAGATTTAAAGCTGGTGGTGACGGGAAGATGCCCTCCGCCACCCATTCGCACCGGCCAACCTCAAAGGTTGTCCACAAGGGCTTCAAGTCTAAAAAGGCTACTAAGGGTGCTCTTCGAGACCAAGCAAAAGGTACGTTGTCACCAGAACCAATATCGTTCTCTGCATACTAACTGAAGCCCTTCCATAGGCAAGGTCCCTAACGAAAGACGAAAGACTCCCCACCAACAAATTATGTCCAAGATCGACCGCCGGAACCAAGCCAGACAGCGCCAGCTTATCAAACATAAGGCACACCAGAAGGACGCCTCTATATTTACCGGTCGAGATGGCGCCCCGAGAATCGTTGCCGTTATTCCCTTGTGCAGTGACAGTGACGTCGCCGCCGCTATTCAGAGTCTCAATGGGAGCCTCGATATTGAATGCGACGTCTCCGCCTCTACTTTTCGAGTTTCTGTAGACCGCTTCAAGCAGAAACTTCAATACATACCGACAAAGAGAGATCTCTCGACCTGCATAGATGCCGCACGAGTGGCTGATTATGTCGTTTTTATCCTATCTTCTGAGACTGAGGTCGACCCACTGGGGGAGCTGATCATCCGAAGTATTGAGAACCAGGGCATGTCAACGCTGTTCACAGTTGTTCAGAATCTCAACAAGGTCGAACCTGCGAAAGCAAGGTCGGACGTTGTAAAATCCCTGACCTCCTTCATAACGCACTTCCACCCGGGCCAGGACAAGATTTATAGTCTCGATTCGAGGCAAGAATGCTCAAATTTGATGAGGTCGCTATGTAGCACCACACCAAAGGGTATCAATTGGAGAGACCAACGATCGTGGATGTTGGTAGATGATGTCCGGTGGCCATCTACTGAGACAGAATCCACCGTACTAACCGGAGTTATCCGTGGAAAAGGGTTGAAAGCTGATCGGTTAGTGCATGTTGGGGACTGGGGCACGTTTCAAATCGAGAAGATCACAGCCGCCCCAATTCCGACAAAGAGGCAGAAAGATGACGGTATGGCTGTAGACGATGCGGATGAAGAAAAGGTGCTAGAAATACCAGATGAAGATCAAGACGATCTCGCCGAGCTAGCTCCGGAAGAAACAATCATGGACGATGTCGATGCTGGCGGTGGCGCAATGGATTCCGGCGCGCCAGCAAGCAAAAAAGGTGTCTTGCTAGACGATCATCATTATTTCTCAGAAGAAGAGCCCGAGAAATATGAAGCACCGAGAAAACTTCCCAAAGGAACGTCTGCGTACCAAGCAGCCTGGATATTAGATGATGTCTCTGACTCTGAATCGGAGTTCGACGACGAGGAGATGCAGGACGCGCAGGACGAGACTGTGCCAGCCCGACCAGAAGACGGTGTAGAAGGACTGGCTGGCCGTGAACCCACCGAAGCCGCTATGTCAGAGTATCCCCAATCTGAAGGCTTTGTTGAACCGAATGAAGACGAAGATGCAAAGCAACTTCACGCATACCGCTCCCGAAGGCGCGATGAAGCAGAAGAAGACAAAGAGTTTCCGGATGAGATTGAGTTACATCCGCATGTACTCGCGCGGGAAAGGCTGGCGAAGTACCGAGGCCTGAAAAGTCTGCGAACAAGCCCCTGGAACCAGGAGGAAGATCGCCCTTACCAGCCCGAAGAGTGGTCGAGGTTATTACAAATCTCGGACTACCAATCTTCCCGGAATCGTTCGATTCGCGAGGCTTTAGTCGGTGGTGTTGCCCCTGGAACTCGAGTGCACGTTCATCTGAAGGGTGTACCTGCAGAGCTACAAAAATCACATAGCGCATCACAGCCAATCACACTCTTTAGTCTCCTGAGGCACGAGAACAAGAAGACGGTAGTAAACTATGATGTTACCCATAAGGAAGATTACGAGAAGTCAATTAAGGCAAAGGAAGAGCTTATTGTCCAATGCGGCCCTCGGAGATTCGTTATCAACCCCTTATTCTCAACTAGTGGAAATACTGAGAACGATGTGCACAAGTATTGCCGCTATCTGCACCCAGGCCAGTCCGGTATTGCGACGTTTATGGGCCCTGTTACTTGGGGGTCTGTTCCAACGCTATTCTTTAAACGCGTAAATTCGGAACAGAGCGAAGATGGGACCACCACTCTGCCTTTACAACTCGTTGCAACAGGCACTTCTCGTGCACCTTCAACTTCCAGAGTTATTGCCAAGCGAGCTATCCTAACCGGCCACCCTTACCATATCCACAAGAAGATTGTTACTGTTCGGTACATGTTCTTCAACCGAGAGGATGTTGATTGGTTCAAGGCCTTACCACTATGGACGAGGAGGGGCAGAAGCGGTTATATTAAAGAGCCATTGGGCACACATGGGTACTTTAAGGCCAACTTCGACGGCCGAATCAACCCTCAGGATTCAGTTGGCGTTAGTCTCTACAAGCGTGTATGGCCAAGGAATGCCACAGCTTTTACGGGTGCATTATTAGATGGAGCCACTACAGGACACGATGAGGCGATGGATGAAGATATCCAATAGATGTAGACCTAGAGGCGTGCTGATGGTATCATGATGACTGATGACGGAATATACGGCAACCGGCTAGCGTAGTCTGTTTTAAAATCTTTGCCTGCGTGACTGATATTGGTTAATACTACAATCTCCCACTCCCAATGAGCGTTGAATCGGGTTCTGCTATGGGCCACTGTCTCAAGTGAAGCCAGTGGTCTCCATGACGGTGAACATGTCGGCCCATAACAGAATCCAAAGCAGTACTTGTTAGGAATAGGAGACACAGGGTGAAGAGACCCTCATCCCAAAGTCTCCAGTCCCTCAGTCGGCCTCGGGCCACCTTTACTCCTACAGGCTTCCTCCGCACCACAGGCCTTCCAAGCGCTGAGGATCAAATTAACGATATGGTTCACGCCCACGCCCTTCTTGACCTGGGCGAACACGGTGGGGCCGCCCTCGCGCATCTTCCGGGCGTCGCGCTCCATGACGCCCAGGTCGGCGCCGACGGCCTCGGCGAGGTCGGTCTTGTTGACGACGAGCAGGTCGCTCTGGGTGATGCCCGGCCCGCCCTTGCGGGGTATCTTGTCGCCGCCGCTGACGTCGATCACGTAGACGATGAAGTCGGCAAGCTCGCGGCTATAGTTGGCGGCCAGGTTGTCGCCGCCGGACTCGATGAGCAGCAGGTCCGCGCCGCCGGGCTGAATCTCGGCGTGCAGGTCCTCGAGCGCCGCCAGGTTCGCCGAGATGTCCTCGCGCACCGCCGCGTGCGGACACCCGCCCGTCTCGATCGCGCGGATCCGCGACGCGGGCAGCGCCTTGTGCCGCGTCAGGAACTCGGCATCCTCGCGCGTGAAGATGTCGTTCGTCACTGCGGCGAGGTTGTACTGGCTGCGCAGCGCTAGGCAGAGCGCTAGCATCAGCGCGGTCTTGCCGGAGCCGACGGGGCTAGAAGTGATATTCGTTAGCTTGCGCTCTTCTCTCTTTTTTTATGCAATGTTTTATTTGTTTTATCTTGTAAGATAGGACTATGATCACGGAAGAAGGAGAGTGAGAGCATTGTAAGAACTATATGATTTCCTGGATGTATTAATGAGCGCATATGGATGATCTGACTGCAACCACTTCGTGGTGAGGGGCAAAACCAGGAGCAAGCATAGTCTTATACGTACCCACCGATACCGATAGTAAACGCCCGCTCATGCCAGTTCCGGCCCTCGACTATGGGCATCTCCCGGCCGAGGAAGCTGCCGGGTCCGTCGAGGATCTCATGAGAGTGGCCGTGCTCGGCGGCGGAGATGCCGTCGTGAGAGTGAGAGTGGCTTACGCCGTCATGAGAGTGTGCCATGGTGGGATACAGGTGTGTCTTAGATTCTGGTATGACAAAATGTGGCTTGACTTTCAATATGAGATTTTATGTGTCAAGACTGCATATCAGTGACTAAGAGGATGTAATTCTTTTGCGATATATGAAGAGGCTCTTTAAAACCGCGCTTCTTGATACTGATCTAAGGCTTGATGAGGGGAGTTTGCGATGCGGGGCACACCTTCTTTAACCCCACCCCTCCTGGTCTTCTATGCCATGCTGAAATATTGCCCCGTTTCTCACTGGCAACTAGTTCTATTCTACTCATATCTATCGCAATTCTATACAAGGACAAATCTAGTTATTGTCAGTCAGTCTTAACGTATAGTCAAGTACTATACTAGGCTACTAATCTTACACCAAGGACCATAAACCGAAGTAAAGTAGTCTAAAGTAGGCTACAATAATCTTTAGTGAGAAGTATTCCAAAAGTTTATACATGTTTTAGACTAGATACATAACCTGTATGATATGAAAAAGGACCATATGATATTTATAAGAATAGTATATTTTAAATCTATCCCCCTGGTATAGAAGGATTTGCTTTCTAGGTAAGGAAACGTGAGTTAGGGACAATGTAAAGCAGGTGTGAACGACAGTATATTTAAGGGTTCCTCAAAAGGCTACCAGTACCCAGTTCCCCATTCTTCCCACTGTATAACATCTTTATGGCATCACACCTAACTCAAATAATGAAGCTATAAGTATGTCTATAACTCGCCATACTGTACTAACCATTAGTTTAATCACGTGATCCAAAAGGTGGCATCAGCCCTAGCCCATGGGCATTGCAGATCTTTCCCCCTAGCTGGAGCCAACTCCGCATCAATACAATAACGCCCCCCAGTCGCTACCTTCACTTCATCCAATCACGTTTGTGTATGGTGCGATATGTACTTGTAGCCCCGCCAAATTAAAGTCACCATTTGTTTAAGTAACATATATTACAATAATAAGGCCACCATCCATCAGACGCCAATCGATCAGTTCAACTGGTCTTTGTTTCTCGATTGGTCTAGTGGTTAGGATACCTGCTTGTCAATATTCCGATATAGCAAGCCGCAGGTGGCCGGGGTTCGATTCCCCGATCGAGAGGATTTACTTTTTATCAGTGTCGTTTTTTATTACCCATTTTCACACTTTTGGGGGAGCTGTTTTAGGGGTTTGTTCGCTGTACCAGCGTTTCTAACTACATTTACAATGATCTTCAAACTAAAGGCAACCTCAAACAAGCCCATCGTCATTTTCTTTTGCATTCGTTTTCCGAAGGCGCCACTTCGGCGGTGTGGCTCAAATATTGGGACCCTACGCACAATGAAGTATTTCGCCGAAGTCATGTTTTTGTCACAGTGTGCGTGATCTAAATTGAATGAGAAGGCGCTCTTCGCTTAGAAGCAGCACTTCCAGCCATGTTATTATGCCTCGGACAATCAATCCTCTAAAACAGTTACACTATCGAGACTTCACGGTATAATATATTTTCTTGTTCAACTACTATCTGGATGGGTCACTAAAGTTTATATAAGTGGTGGAGATCATTCAACAAAGTAAAGTGTTCGTGGTCCGAATGTGATAGTTACGATAGAGCATGTCTTATGAGAATTTAGGAACCTGATCGCGTGCCTCTCTCGAAAGCTCCACTGAGGCTTCTGTGCAAATATGGGTAGCGGGCTATAGCGCCGTAAATCTCGATTCATCAGGTGGCTAGGGCATTTTGAGGGCTCGAGTCCAATGGAGTGGAAATGGGGTTGTCAGGATAATATGCAAAGCAGCCGTGACCCTCGTCACAATACGTATTACCTACACCAAAACGCTCCTCAGGAAATGAGGCCTGGGCTGCTCCGGAGGACCGCCCGAAACGCTTACCTTACCGCCTCGTCGTTGAGGCCGAAGCCCGGTGGGTCAACGCCCTGCTACTCGTGCGTGACGTGATTTTCCACTCCGATATGTCAGTGCAACAGCAATTTTTACTGTAAAAAATTATTAGTTAAGCAAAGGTGAGGCTCTTGATTGATGTCAGGTGAGCACAGATAGACTAGTTGCATGGTAAGGTGCAGTATATTGAGGATTCAGGTAACACTTCGGTTATTCTTTCATTGCACGGACTGGGACGTACACTATAGTAGCCACTGATTCTGGCAAGTCCACCCAATGCCCCCTTACCCAGAAGGCTTGCTTGGAAAATGCCAGGGGACCAAAGGGTCCGATTTAGTGCACTCAAGGCCGCTGCGCACGAGTCAGAACAACCGTGCGCAGTATAACCGTTGCACTCTGCGCTCTCGGGCGCCGCCAAAGCAAAGCCTTCGCTCATTCGTGCAACAACTCAGCAACGGTTTCGTAACCACAACACACAACTGCGTTTAGCTAGCCACTCAGCGTTGACAACCAACATAAGTTTCCAACGGTTACTTATTGACAATACCTTGATAATTTTACGTCGATGGCCAAGGACATCTTCTTGGCTGCAGCTGAGGCCTGTATATCTCGCGTTCCGGCGACCCATCCCAATGATCGACCTCCACCCAAAAAGCCAGATTCATTCACAGAAGGGCACTCAGCGGAAGCGGCATCTACCCGCCGCTATCTTGTTCTAATCTGCTGTCAGCCTCGCTTTGCAGGGCCCCAAAACTTACCGTTGCATCGTTGTTGGAGATTGTGATTCATATTATTATTCACCGCGTACAACATGGCCATTGAGGATCCAGAGCCATTATCGGCCCCTGCTTCTGCAGCAGCCGTGGCTGTCTTGGTCCTGCAATGGCTTCAATACTGGGTATGGAATGCAATCATCTCTGCCGTGTCCCGCTACACCAGGAATTTTCAAGCAGAGACCATATGGCCATCGCCTAGATGGTATGCAGACTCGCGCTCAGTGGCGTGGTGCGGCTGCAAAAGGCCCGTCGTGTTTCTCTTCTTGTAGCAGTTAAGGACGCCCCGGCTCAAAGCGGTCAAGATTACAGAGTACCAGAGGCATCTTCATGGATCTGGTAATAGTAGCATCGAGATATGTGAATCAACCAAGGATTTCTCATGCGTGCCAAGCGTACGCTGGCTGCTTGACCCATAGTGTATAGGCTGGATCTTTTGCCGCTGGCGAACCACATTCAAGAAACAACGTCCAAATACAGGTCTCATATGCACGCAGCTGGCTCATTACGAGCTGTGCCGTATAATCGAGCCTGAGCAGCGAATGGCAAGCAGGGCTAGCCTATGCAACGCTTCAACCGACTAGCCTGCAATTTTGTACGGCTTAGCCTAACTAACCAGCTGAATCGCGGGGGAAAAGTACGCCCAGCGGCCATCTCCGCTTAGCATGGAGGTCACGGAGGTCATGGAAAGAGGGCTAACTGCGGGCCACGGATCACAACATTTTGACAGTACCTAGCATGACACCGCATGGCAGCAAAGTGAGCAGAACCATCTGTCATCAGCAGTGAAGACGAATACTAGTCAAGTCGCACAATGGGGACGGCACGACATACGACATACGAAGAACTGCAGAAAGAGGCGTTTTCCTTCTGTGTTGGTCTAAGTAGGGGGAGGTCAAGATGCTAACAGATTGTGGCTGCAGATGAAGATTCTTCCCCTTGGGGAAATCAAAAGGCACTACTGTGGCAGGACAAGCCCTGCAGAAACCCATGTCTTTATTGCATACTTAATGGCGTATTGTACAGATTCGGTCTAGCATGGGCGCCCCTGGGCTGGGGTCAGCATTCGAGGACCTGTGGGCTTGGCCAGCTGCTCGCATCAAGGCGGTTCGAGCCCAAGCAGCGAAGCTCACACGCGGGCGCCACCCCCGTAATCAGACCGGCGCGACATCAGGTACGCATCCAATGGTTTTCCCTCTCTCCTAAGCTTAATCGTGAGGAAGCAAAACGGCCGGCAGTGTCGCGCGACATGCTAGCACTACGCAAAGGAACGCACACCGTCAACTGCTTGATAGATTGACGAGTTCTGGGCCGTAAGCAAGATTGTTCGCGGGGTCTGGAAGGTCTAGATACCTCATTATCGACTCCACGGACGCCCCGCTTCTGGCCTGTTTTGTTTGCCATCGAACGACTGAACCCTTAAGACGCTTGAGAGGGACGTCACACCCATACCCACCTCCTGACCACCCAAAGGGCACCAGCCGAATTTCCCGAAATCGTTTAGCCGACCCGTTAGCGCATGTCGCTAGGGAAGTAGGGGGGGTAAACGAGGCCCTATTTAGCCAAGACCAGCCAAGACCAGCCAATGAGATGCGCAGCGCCAACGACGGCGTACTCCTTCTTGATGTCAAATGACCTCCATGTCTCCTATGGTCTACCTAGTGTAGGTAGGGCACTTGGTCACACTGGCAGATGGACGGGCAACATACCATTCATCGTGACGTTTTCTACTTTCTTACTGGGCGCCTTTTTCTGCTTATTACTATGGCAGATCTCGGTGCGGTGCGTTGCGTTGTGTTGTGCTTTTCCCTTCCTATGGTATAACTTTAGAGACCGTTCGTGACACCATGTACGACGAAGACTAGGCAAAGGCTGGTTGTTGATTTTGCTCAACGCTTCGACGGGTCTCAAATTTCAGAAGCTAAATTCCTGCAAAAGCCAGGCGTTATTAATGGTACCCAAAGCAGTCTCATCACTTATAGCTCTATTCTACATCCTCATTACTTTTATACTTCCCGGTTATATAAGTCAAACCCACCCTATTGACCGACGGCCGTTCTCGAACCTAGCATCATCCCACTGCTCATTTCTTTACCGTTTGTTCACACCTTTGCATACATCCGCAAAATATTTGCAGAGGTCTAGTCTGATCTGATCCGTCCATCAGACTAGCTAGGCACACGCAAAGCTGCTGTGTGCTCTCTATACTGTACCAGCACTACTGCACAGTGAGAAGAAAACCAGTTTTTCCTCGCGTGCGCCAACAGGCTGTGACGTGACATGGGATATCTGCATACTCCAACTGCCTGCTGCCTTTAAACGTCCCGAAACAAGCCAGTCAAGAGAAAAGGCGAAAGGATTCCCACAATCCTTGCAACCCTGACCACGTCCCCCAGCTCGTGTCAACTCCACTGTCGCTATCAGGAACTACCTTCAACACTCCTCTATAATAGTTCAAAATCCGTCCTTTGACAACTACCTACACTGTTGTTTCACTGAGTCTAAAATCTGTGATACTATGCAACTCACTATGGGGTATTCCAACGACGTCACACTGGCGCTTCCGCCGTCGCGGAAGAGCACAGCCCTGGGAGTGCCCAAAGCCGGTATGGCGAGACCACAATACAAAAAGCAACATCGGACGCACCCTAGGTCACAACCTTTCGACCCAGAAGATTTGCGTAGGAGGCTGTACGTGGTGATCGCCGAGCAAGAGGCGCAGAAAGAGAAGCGGCAACGAGAGCGGGTCGACGCGTTACCTGCAAAGAAGGCGCAAGTACAGAGGGACCAGGATACTCAGCGTCAACATGCCGAGAATATCGCGACGCTAGCCGCGGCGGCACGACCTGTGCGATCAGCATCCACATCCAAACCCAAATCAAAGTCCTCCTTGCAGGACAGACTGCGTCAGAAGCCCTCCAAACTTGCTCCCGCCGTAGTAGACGATGCTGTCGTCGGCGCGGATATGGGTGCGACTTACCGACATGTACCGCAGCAAGCCGCCGCGCAGTTTAGTCGCACGGCTACCTCGGACAGCATGCGGGATAAGTCGCTCGTACATAGCCTCTCCCAAGCGGCGCTCCGCTTCTATGTACAAGGGAGCTCGTCTACGGACCGACAGGCCATCGAATCCAGCATCACGCCCGGCAAGCAGCGGAGTATACTGCAACGCGCACAGAGTCAGCGAGAGCGTCAGCATGGGCGGAACCAGTTCCAGGACGCGCGGCTCTCCGGTGAACATGGTGTTCCCTGGCGGAAATCGAATAAATCCGGACCAGGAGGCATTGAGCCAGTCATCCCAGAAAACGACGTCCCCACGCTCGCGGACCTGCATCTACGCGCGCATCACAGCCACGGCGAGAGCGAAGAGTTGCAGTCCTCGGAGGAGACGCTCATCGATACCACGACGGCGAATGAACACCGCATCGACTGGTCGCAGAGTGACGA